CTGGTCCCTGCTCGGAGTCTGAACCCTGTCCAGGGTTCTCCACATCGTCCATAGCCGACTCATAGGGCCCATCGCTATCGGAGTCTGTTTGCAGCTCCAATGGCTCCTGCTGGGCCACAACAATATTCTATGAAACGTTATAGCCAAACATAGCCAACAATAAAACCCAGTTAATAGAAGCAGTCATTCAATCCTGGTTTCACGTTGTAACAGCTGCAGAACTAAAAGACTTGGTTCACTCCATGGGAAGACATTGTAAGGCCATAATTCATGTTAAAAGTTACCCAACTAAGTATTTAACTGACCCGGCGATACATTTTTGTGTCTCTCAATTTTTCTACGGTGAGAATTTTTGTATATCGTGTTTTTTTCTATGTTTTCACTTTTCTTCTTTATAACTGCTATTCTAATAGCAAATCCACCGTAAAGGTTATGGCATTACATTCTTGATTAAATTATCTTTCCCTTGATTATATAATTTTGTGGTACTCCTCCTCCAAAACAAGGAGTAAGTGGTGTTCTTAGCCATCAAACCTCAAAAATAGACTTTTTCCCAAAAGGCCTTCCACAATTTTGGCCTCTACTGTACTTCATGCATAAAAATGGAAGGACATTTTCTTTTTGCCACAATGGCGGAAGGGCTGCAAAAGCCGATGGGAGTTTGCAGAGAGGGCTAAATCGACAGCTTTGATCAAAGCAAAATAATAATAAATACAGATACTCTTATGACTTCTGGACTTTGCACGAGGTGCGGTGGGTGGGGCGGAATGAAACTTTGATTTTGGGTTTTACCGATCAGATAGATTTCTTGATAGGGAAATGGCTAGTTAATACTATATTGGAAAAGTCAAAAGTTGAGATTTAATTGCTATTATCTTGTTCTACTGCACCAAAAAAGACTCGGAACTCCAAGCCTTTTATTTCTTTTTTTCCCTTCTACGCTTTCCCCTCCTTTAGTTTTACTATTTTTTGTCATTATAGATTGTACGATAAAACTGATAAAAAGGACAAATTTTAAAGCTTTGGGAGTTGATGTGCACAAAATTGTAGGGAAGGAAATTGGGACAACTTTGGACTTGTGTTTTATCTCTGCAAAATCCAATTTTAGCCCAACGGCTCCTTTTAAACCCCCAATAAAAGTCATAAAAACGTGTAATCTATATATTTAATCGGAACACAACAAGGAGACGACAAAAGTGCACCTTTTATGACGGGGGGGGGGCATTTTCGGTGTTTGGAAGCTGCAAACACGACTGTTGACTTTCCACATCATAAAGTCCTCGGGGGAATTTTGAAACCCTCATGCAAAGCTCCGGGCGGGCAGCCCAGAATCAAAAGATTTCTTCCAACTTGTGATGGAGTGAAAGTCTCTGCTTTCAAGCACAGGCAGTCCTCGGCTTACGACCGCAACGTGGGAATTTCCAGAATTTCCACCGTTAAACAAGGCGGCTGTTAAAGGAGTCGTAATACTGGCTGGGGGATTCTGGGAGTGGAAGTCCACTTATCTTAAAACATGCTGGCTGGGGCATTTTGGGAGTGGAAGTCCTCCCCTCTTAAAGCATGCCGGCTGGGGGATTCTGGGAGTGGAAGCCCACCCCTCTTAAAGCATGCTGGCTGGGGGATTCTNGAAGGAAGATGAGAAATGGTCAAAGAGGAGAAGGAAGGAAGGAAGGAAGGAAGGAAGGAAGGAAGGAAGGAAGGAAGGAAGGAAGGAAGGAAGGAATTATATCTTCAACTGGGTCTTCAGCCCATGTGCCGTATTCTTTTCCTTGCCTTATTTACTCATTTATTACATTTATATGCTGCCCATCTGACTGTCCATCCACTCTTGACGTGGCTCAGCAGACGCCGGAGCTTCTGGGGTAAGCCCGCCTCCCGCTCGCCCCCTTTCCCTCCTCAACCCCGTCACCCACCCCAGAGGAAAAGGCGTGGACACCCAGGGCACATTCTCCGGGCTGAGCCCAACAATCCAGTGCATGCAGGATCCATGGGCAGCGGAGGGAAGGGGAGGGGAGGGAGACCCCCTTACCTGCGTGCTTGTTCCGCCGGTGGTTGACCCTGGGGGTGGAGGACCCATTTCCGCGGGGCAGGAAGAGGGCAGCGCCTTTGACCGTGAGAAAGCTTTCGCTGATGCTGCAAGAGAGGGAGAGCAAAAGGAAGTGAGAAGGGCAGAAGAGGGGAGGGGGGGAGCAGCAGGAATGCGGGGAGGGGGAGGGAAGCCATCCTCTTCTTTGATGGCAAGATTGAAGGGGAGGGGAGGGCACCAAAGGACCCGTCTGTCCCTCCCTTCTGCCCCCTCCCAAAAGGGGAAGGGCGTAGCCAAATGGCCCCTTTGCATTGGGGCGAAAGGGAAGGCAAAATCAGCAGGGCCTCGGCTTGCAAAAGTAACAGAGTTGGGAGGGACCTTGGAGGTCATCTAGCTCAACCCCCTGCTCTCCGCAGGATACCTATACTATTTCTGTATAGAAAGGGGGGGGGGGAAGGAAGGAAATAAAAGGAAGGAAGGAAGGGAAGGAGAGAAGGTCTGGAGAGAGAGAAGAAGGGAAAGGAGAGAGGATGGAAGGGTGAGAGGGAGGGAGGGAGAAGGAAGGAAACAAAAGGAAGGAGGGAGGAATAATGGGGAGGAGATGGGAATGAGAGGGAGGGAGGAAGGAAGGAGGAAGATGGGAATGAGAGGAAGGAGTGAAGGAAGGGAGGGAANGTTGTTAAATTATTAGAGAGAACAGATTGTTAAATTAGAGAGAACAGGTTGTTAAATTATGAGAGAACAGGTTGTTAAATTAAGGAAAACAGGTTGTTAAATTATTAGAGAGAACAGATTGTTAAATTATTAGAGAGAACAGTTTGTTAAATTATTAGAGAGAACAGGTTGTTAAATTAGAGAACAGGTTGTTAAATTAGAGAGAACAGGTTGTTAAATTATTTGCCACGTCTCTCTCTCTCTCTTTCTCTCTCACTGCCCGAGAAACTGCAGCAGGAAACGGCAGGTGGCTTCCAGCCTTCGTTGGTGCCGGATGCTCAACCTGCTCTCTGCCCTGAGATACTTGCCCGCCCCGCGGTCAACGCTGCTGCTGTTGCCAGAGGCGAGTGGGGAAGGGTCGCACTGTAGCTCCACGTAGTAATGGGCTCCAGGAGAAGGAGGGGACCCTGTCTCCCCCACTGAGAAGCGTGCTAAATTTCACCTGTGCTGCGCAAGGCGCTGCAAGAGCAGTGGCCAGGCCATGCAGGCGGCAATAGAAGTGTCGGTGTTGGCCACTTCTCTCTGCAGCAGAGGGATGAAAGGAGGGAGATGCAGGTTGCAGACCCCTGGTCTTGATCATAGTCACTAAACCCTGAAACTCAACATTGCCAGAGGTCATTGATAATTTATTGCTGAGAGGAAGAAAGTACAAGATGAACAACACTGTTATATAAAGACCAGTGGGTTGTCTCAACACATAATCAACATTTTACGGGTAAGCGTTGAATAATAAAGAGGAAAGGACAAGGAATGTTAGCCAAAGATCCTGAAGAAGTCTCCCAAAATACTGATGTGGAATGGCAAGAAAATTGCTCAGGGTAGATTATGTCAGATTCAGTATAATAAAAGAGAGATAGGGGTAAAAAAAAAAAAGAGAACGATTCATTAATTAGCCAGGTCATCACACCTACCTCGACAGGTCATCTCCTCCTCTGCAAAATTGGAATCGGGAATGGGCCTCGTTTTACGACACGCAGTGCCTTTCTCATGCGGATAGAGATGAGATGGCCTGCTGAAGGCTGCCCCACAATCAGAGCAATCGTAGGACCTCTGCCCTGTATTGCATCTAATGGTTTTGGAAAGCTCAGTAGCTCTACGATCGCAATCATCGGGGCCCTTGGATTCCCCTTTCTGAGGGCTCCGAAGTTTCTTCAGCATCACCTTTATGGTTTTCAGCCCATACATTTGAGAGAGCTCCACTTCTCGGGACTTCCTCGGGAGCGGCTTGGAAACGGGGTTAGCATCGCTGACAGCAATCAGCGACACGGTGGAAAGCTCTCCCAGCAATTCCAGCGGGGAATTTTGCTCCTGCGTAGAATTGCTTTGGCCCTGATTAGATTCATTGGCACCTATGGGAACAAATAGATCGGTGTACAACCACCTGCGTTAGCAATTGGGAGATGGGAAGGGGGAGGAGGCAGAGGTGGAGGAGGAAGAGAAACGACTTCCGGGGAAGAAATGGAGAGCAGAGAGGAGAAAGGGGGGGGGGCAGAATAAAGAACCAGGGAGAAGGACCAGCTATTTGTAATTCCTCTCCGGACAAGAAGAGAGCTTGAGATCGCCCACAAGTCCTCCGGGAAGCTGTACTGCATATGAGGAGATGGTAAGACCAGAGGTCACCAGTGGGATTAAAGCAGTGGGAGATGAGAGGTTCCCATCTTTCTCCAAACTGCGGTTGGTGCCTTTAAGAGGAGACGGGGTTTAAATGTGTCCCCTTCTAATCATTTTCAGAAATCCCTTCTTCGCTGCTTTTCGGATAGTAACGGTAAAGGCTCCCCTCGCACATAGGTGTTAGTCGTTCCCGACTCTAGCGGGCGGTGCTCATCTCTGTTTCAAAGCCGAAGAGCCAGCGCTGTCCAAAGACGTCTCCGTGGCCATGTGGCCGGCATGACTAAACCCAGAAGGAGCACGGAACGCTGTTACCTTCCCACCACAGGTGGTCCCTATTTTTCTACTTGCATTTTTTATATGCTTTCGAACTACTACCATGTTTTCATGAAAATTTTCTTTTGACCCCTGAAATAAGCGCTTGGCCTTATTTACGGGGAGCTCTTATTATTTTTAAGGCACAGGAGGTGGCGAGCATGGTCACCTCATGGCTGCTGCTGTGTGGCAATATTTTCGGAGGAGGACTTATTTTAGTGCATGCGCTCAAAAGCCCGATTGGTGTTATTATCCGGAGAGGTTTTATTTTCAGGGAAACAGGGTAGGGTTGGCAGAAGCTGGGACAAGTAATGGGAGCACACTCTGTTACAA